TGTGGCAAATTTTATTATCAAAGGGTTCATCTCTATTAAAAAAAAACTCCTTAAAATCATTAAGAAAAAAAAATAAACTTCTAGAGTAAGCAAAAGTCTTAAGCATGCATTTCACAAAAGAAGATATACAAATGGCCAATAAACATGTCATTTCTGTAAAGTCCACAAACAGATATAATGAATTTATACTGTTAGAAGTCACAATAGTGTTACTCATGGGACAATAATGTAAAGGTCATAAAGGGAACTCTTAAGTGTTGGTAATGTTGTTTCTTGATCTGAATGCTGGTTATAAGGTTATGTCAACTGTGTGAAAATTTATCAAGCTGTGCACTTACAATATATTTATCCTTTATTATATAGATATTTATGCTCCAATAAAACCTTTTAAATGATACAGTGGTTTCCTATTGCTAATAAGGTGATATATGAACTAAAACTAGAATATCAGGCTGATAGTGTTTCCTCTAAATGCAGGAACAAGACGCAGATGCCCATTCCCGATACTTCTGTTTAACACGGTGCTGGAATTCCTAGCCACAGCAATCAGACAAGAAAAAGAAATAAAAAGTGTTCAAACTAGAAGGGAAAAGGTAAAACTGTGACTATTTGCAGATGACATGATACTTTGTATAGAAAACCCTAAAATCTCCACCTGAAAACTATTTGAACTAATAATGAATTCAGCAAGGTTGCAGGATATAAGATTAATATACTGAAACCTGTTCTGTTTCTATACACTAATAATGAAATATTAATAAGAGATTTTTTAAAAATATCATTAAAAGGAATAAAACACCTAAGAATAAATTTAACCAAGGAGGTAGAAGACCCGTACTCTGAAAAGTATAAAACACTGATGAAGGAAACTGAAGATGATACAAAGAAATGGAAAGATATCTTGTGCTCTTAAAGTGAAAGAATTAATATTGTTAAAATGGCCATATATTCTCTTTTCTGTAAGTTAGTTAACCTCAGCATGCCCTTTAAGCTCACTTTCACATGAACTAGTAATACATGAGTGTCTTACTTGTTGACAGTTATTTGTTCTTTCCCATCTTGCAATGAGAACCTTTAGCCAGAGTATATTTCCTACACTTCCCCACACTGCAGACTTTGGATGTGGTGATGTGACTAGCTTTGACCAATGGAATGTGGATGGATAGGAAGTATGCTGTATCACAGCTAAAATTGAATATATTCACATGGTCTATCTCCTCTGGTTTCTGCCCTCCTGTACCAGATAGTAGTTGTTCTTTCAGCTTTTGTTCCAAAATAGGAAGCAGACACAATGTCCAGAATGAGAAGGTAACTCAAGACAGCAGCCCAGAATCCACTTGTATCTTGGAGCAGGGCCTCAGAGTGTTGGAATCCACAACTGATCTACAACTAACATATCATGGACAACTCATTAAACTCTGTTCTTGTGAGCCACTGAGACTGAAAGGTTGGTTGTACCAGCATTACCGTAGTCAAAATTGAATGATACATGAAGTCATATCAATTCTGTCTTCCAAATATTTCTTACACTCAACTACTTCTTTTTACTCACCTTGTTACTATCCTGGTCCAAATTCTTATAATCTCTCACTGAGTTGGTTGGAATAACTTCTTAATTGTATACCTTACCCATGAGCTCCTCCTTCTCCAATCTATCCCTACACACATTGGATTAGACGGCTATTCCATTTCAGGACCTTCTATAGCTCCACATTGCCCACAAGTAAAAACCAAGGTTTATGTGGCCATCTAGTCATTCTCTCAGTAAATTTTCATCCTCATCCCCATCACTACTCTA